TTGTATTTTATGCTTAGTCCCTTCTTCTCGCTCTCCTTCGCTATCTTCTTTTCCGTGTCTGCTATCAGTACTGTGTCATCAGAGTATCTTTTGTTGATATGATTGTAGCCGCCAATGCCGAAACCTGGTAGGATTTACAATTCACTCAGAATTGTCTCACTGAATACGTCCGGTGAGAAGACACGTCCTTGCCTTACGCCCTTTTCTATTTTTGTACATCCGCTCATTCTCTATGCGCATGCATGCCGTTTACTGCTAATATAGGTACTTGATTATTCTAATATATTTCCCAAATATATTAAAGTTGCTGAGCAGCTCCAACATATCCTAGTAGCGTACTTTGTCGAACGCATTTGTCTGCTCTATGAAACATAGATACACGACCTTCTATATTTGTGTTACTCTTTCTGATAACATTCTAAGCGTGAATATTGCATTCCTTGTCCCGGTGTCTTTAACGAACCCGCACTCTTCTTGTCCTATCTCTGCCCTGATTCTGCTGCGTGCTCTATTCATCAGAATACGGATAATGAGTCTTGTGATGTGGCTCATTAGGCCGATTGTTCGCGGGAGTTCACATTCGTTTGCGTCTGGTTTCTTCGGCAGTCCTATGAAAATAGATCTGCTGAGATCTTCCGGTATATCCATACTGTTGTAGATTTCATTTATTATTTCTATGATCTTGTTTATGCCAAATTCAGCTAAGGCTGTCAGCATTTCCGTCACAATTCCGTACGCTTAATTTCATTCGGTCCAGTTACCAAGAAGCAAAGAACAATTGCAATGAAGATATTAATTGAAAAAAAAAAAAAAACACACATTAGCCACATCACAACGACGGAAAAGTGACAGAAGTCAAGATGTCAGGACCGATAACATGACAGACCCTTCTTTTTTATATATAAAGAGTCCGGGGCACCAGACCAGATGTGATGTCAGTGTTCAAGGCACGAACGAATGTTAGATTTATAAACGTGCAAGATCGACTCTGGCGAGAATAATTGTCTGGCACGGAACTTTGAAACAACTTTCCCGGCGGCAGACGCTTGTAATTGATTCAAGATTTTAATTCCATACCCTGTCAGCAAAAAAACGGGTTTCTGAGAATGTGTAGATTCTCCTAGAAGCTGACATCAGCCATGCTGATGGAAGGCAAAAATGGTTCTCGAACAGGTAACACTATAAAACAAATTAACTTTAGAACTATCTTCAACGACATTGATCAAGACAATATACTAGAAGGCATTATTTTCGGAGCAACCCTATGTGTACGTGTGTGTGCTTGAAGATGCCCCCCTCCTACTAGGGCAGTTAGCCAATCTCTTTTGCATTCGCCTGTATAGCCCCACTTGTGTTTGTTCAACACCCACAGAGGTTTTTACTGCAACTATGTTGAGCGGACCTTAGCTACAGTTTCTGGGAGATACCGTGTTATCTAGCGTGATCAACAGTCTGAACAAGGCTAGCACGATCAAACCATCGGTCATCGTAACCGATGGCTTGAGCCTTGCTGAAGTTCGTGCAAGCACAGCCATCGAAGGATCCTATAGGGTCGCGTCTACACAATGCCCCCTCACAAGACACTACTAGTTACAGCGTTCGCTTTCTGACCATTCGACAAGTTTGAATCTCACCATGGTCGTTTTTGTCAGGAAGATTAATTATTGATGTTATCTGTCTGGAGAAGGGGATCTCAGCGCGCAGTAACTTTGCAACGTGCCTGAAAACTAAACCATAGGATGCCCCAACCTTTGTAAGTGAAATTGTGTGTGTATATATATATATATATATATATATATATATATATATATATATATATATATACGTTTGTGTATGTTTTTGTAGAGGGTAAAAAGTATACAACGTGGGATAGCAAGCATTCATTTAAACAGGTTCTCTCTGTTGAATTTTTATCGTAATTTTCTTTTTAGATTTTCGAACTTTTCGTTTCATTAGTAACACTCTATCAAACTCACTTGCACGTTAATTTGCCACTGATCGAAATTTAGCGTTTACAATGATTAACAAAAACCATATATTACTATACAACTTTAAAAAAATCCTCTATAGAATTCATTGCAAGGAAAATCGAAACAATATTATATAAAGAAACAACTCGTATTTAATAAAACATCATTCAGTAGAGAAGATGCCATTGCTTAAATTATTCAATACATATAAAATATTTGATACGTTCTTTTGCGACAGCTGTCAACTTTTGCGAACCCGTCTTACACATGATATCACGAATACGATAGACATCTATTTGGATTGAAAAATGGACGTTTCAAAAATCTTAGGATGTAGCCAAAAATATTGTCAAGGATTCTGACAACGATTCGTTCTTTGTTATCACAGGAATGGTTTTAAGCAATTGAAGGAAAACAGAAAAAAAATACATGAAATTTGCAAAGAGTAAAGAAAATATTTATTCGGAACTTTCAACCACTTTTTTCGAAATCAGAAGAGTAAATTAACAGATAGCCCTTCTAATTTGACTGTTTCCATATATATATACACATATATATATATATATATATATATATATATATATATATATATATATATATATATATATATATATATATATATATATATGTGTGTGTGTGTGTGTGTGAGTGAGTGCGTGCTCGTGTGTATGTGTGTGTGTAAATGATCAGATATAATTAAAGTATACACTACAGTTCAAAAGTTGGAAGCCACCCTCAGATTAAGCATGGGATGAACTTGACAGTAGTGTGAAAAGAAAATGAAAAAAAAAAAAGCTCCTAGAATCATTGAAAAGAATTAAATCAATTTGCAAACTTACACTTTCAAAAACTTTTGCAATTAATGCCAGAAATTTGTGCTGCAGTAATCAAGCCTGACGAGAGCAAAATTTTATCATAAAATGCTTTTTTGTTTCTTTTTGTCATAATAAAATTTCCAACAAAAAATCACGTCTCACTTTTTTTAACCATGTATAATAATTTTCTCTTACTTAAAGTACAAAACAACAACTATTAGAGCCAATAAATTACCACGGATGGCCTCAAACGTTTGAACTGCAGTGTAAATATATAAAATGACAATACGAATTAAGGCAAAATGAAAAAATATTCATATATATATATATATATATATATATATATATAATTATTTAAATAAATATGATTCCAACACGCGTGTTGGAATCATATTTTAAATAAATAATTATATTTATGCTCTACTTTTGTATCGAGCATTATTTTTTAAAATAATAACTAAAATACTAAAGAACTTTATATTATTTACCTAACGAGTTCTTTCCTATTTCTATATATTTTTCACACACACACACACACACATATATATATATATATATATATATATATATATATATATATATATATATATATATATATATATATATATGTAAATAAATTATGATAAAGTTGCCAAATATAAGTAGTCAATACAACTGTAGAATAAAAATAAAAGCAAGACAACTCTAACTTCAGCCTCAAGCGACACAAGAAAAAGATTCAACCTAAAATGATAATCCTTCTTTCTCTTAGGGTGAAAGTTTAGCTGTCTTGGTTTTAAGTTTTATTCTTCATTTAACTTACATTTACACACACACACTGCAAAATTGTCCAAATCGTATAACAGCACAATTATCCATCCCACAAAATGTTTAATATCTAAAAAAAAAAAACACTAAACTAATTGAGTTCATTTTTTCCAGGTTTTCAGGTAAGACCTTCACCTATCTTGACGCCATTTGTCGTAAGAATCACTGAGCTATAAAATATATATCAATAAATATATATTTTCATTCCTCCCCGGTAGCACTTCTCGTTGTTTCATTCTCAACGCAATCTTCAGGTTCTGAATAGGGGCTGTTACTTAATTTAAATTTTAATGAAAATATCTGGTAAACGCAATGCAGTCCATATTTTATACGGGGATTACTTTTTTAAAAAAATGTTTTTTTACAAGAGAAGCGATTTATATTTATATCAATATATTATATGTAAAATAAACGCGAATTAATGGTACATATATATATGGCTAACAATCTTTAATTAATACATGTTTCATTGAAAAATACTGACGTATGAGCAACAATCCCTAATTAATTGAACAAAATCAACAAGATCCTTTAGTTTTATTTATAGTGTTTTTTTTTTTTAAATCTTCTATGAGTAACTTTTATACCATCCACAACTGCTCATATGCACCAATTATGATAGTAGTAAAAACAAAATATAATCTTTGAAAATGGTTAACAGTTAAGCCGAAAGCGCTTGGAACCAAAAAACTTTTGGACACATTCATTAGGTCCAGAATGAAAGAAAAACAACATAAGAAAAATATTAAGCGAAATTATCTTACCTGTCTTGTTCTCCCCAACCCACGTCAATCAGTCGTCCATGCTTTAAATTTTGCTACCATATACGGCTCGTTGTTCCTCTTATATATTTAGAGATTCTTGATAAGATCCAAACAAGAATCTGCAATGTTATTGGTCCTGACCTGACATCTCGGCTTCAGTCACTTCCCACCGTCGTAATGTATCTTTACTTTGCCTTTTCTAAAAATATTTTCATGGCAATTTTTCGTATGAAATCTTTACTATGGTACAAGGACTTTTTGAATTTACTATGGTACAAGGACTTTTTGAATTTACTATGGTACAAGGACTTTTTGAATTTAAGCACAGTACTCGATTAGCGTCCAGGTTTCATCAATGCCCAGTTGTTTGACTGGATTTAACCGTAAGTTCTATGCTAAGAGTTTCCTTTCCCGCACTTCTCGCTTGTGGATCCCGGATCTTTCTCCATGCTTTCCAGGCAAATTTGATCTTCAAAATTTGAAATGAAATGTCAATCGTTATCTACTGTCTCCTTGATTGCTATTCTTCTATAGTTCTTCCTCTTTAATAATGTTTATCTTTTTTTTTCTTATTCTTTCACTTTCAGTAACGTCTTGTGTCATAGTGACATTACTACCTTGCTTGGGGTGAAATGATTAAAAACAAAGAGAGAGAGAGAGATAGAGGGAGAGAATTCTGGACATGGAGAGAAAGTCTGAAGGAAAGACAGAGAGAGAGAGAGAGAGAGAGAGAGAGAGAGAGAGAGAGATAAGAATGAAATCCAGAAAGTAACTGAGAGTGGAGAAAGATTCAGAATATGGTTCCAAAATGTAAGACTTTAGATCGTTTCTTCCAAATAAATCAAACAATTTAAACAAGCATCATATATATATATATATATATATATATATATATATATATATATATATATATATATATATATATATATATAAAGAAAGGTCGGCAACTTATCTAGTGTAAATTAAAAAAAACGGATTTCTTTTTTTTATCTGTGGCTGGATCTTCGACCAACAGCGTGCCTAAATAAACAAGTTTCTTAGCGTAAAATGGGAAAAAGGGTCATTTTGAAGGAGCCAAGGAGACGCTTGTTTTAAAGGAGTTATTCATGCCAAGGAAGCTATTAATTTCAAGAAACCCTGACACGAAGAAATTAAAACAAGGTTCGGTGGAACCCCGGAAGTTGTCGAAGGTGATAGATTCAGGTCATTGGGTGTTAGAAAGAAAGAAAGAAAGAAAGAAAGAAAGAAAGAAAGAAAGAAAGAAAGAAAGAAAGAAAGAAAAGTAATACGAGGAGGAAGGAGTAATAGGATATACTGTTTAAAGAAAGAAAGAAAGAAAGAAAGAAAGAAATACAAGGAGGAAGAAGTAATAGGATATACTGTTTAAAGAAAGAAAGAAAGAAAGAAAGAAAGAAAGAAATACAAGGAGGAAGGAGTAATAAGATATACTGTTTAAAGAAAGAAAGAAAGAAGGAAAGAAAGAAAGAAACAAACAAACAAACAAAGAGAAGTCGAAAGACGGAAAGTAAAAAAAAATACAGCATATGGAAAGAAAGAAATGTAGATAGCAAGCAAGAAAGGAAGAAAGACACAAAGAGAGAAAGGAAATTATATAGTTGAGAAATTATATCACCCTGCGTATATCACATTATTGAGAATTAATTGAACTTGGCCGTAAATTATGCACCATTCTTTGTCCTTTCGTGAAAGAGTAACCCAGTTTTCACCATGTCCTGTACACCTGAACGATGCTGCAGATTGAATCGGCTGAAATGTCGTTTCAAGAACCAAAGTAACAAGATGAATCAGTTTAAGCAGTGTAATGGACTGTTAAAATATCAATTTAATTTTCCATAAGCATTTTCTCATTGCGCAAATTTTGAACCAGACTCATTTGATGAAAATTCTGCTTCTTACAGTGAAAAATTAAACATCATATATATATATATATATATATATATATGATATATAATATATATATATTTATATAAAAATATATCGAATTTTTATAGATTTAGACTAATCAAAAACCCTCAATCTCGAGGAAAAAAAGGTTTTAAAAAAGAAAGAGCTACAAACATGAACTTGCCCGACAAAAAAAAATCGCACAGATGCAGGTCTGAAGCCCAAAGAAAAAACCCCGATACGAGTAACAACTATCTAACAAAAAGAGCTCAATACAACCGTAGAGCAGACCTAGATACACCTAGTGAGCCAGACAAACCTACCTAGGTTTCACCTAAACGGATCGTCAGGGAAAGTTTGGCTAAACTATATATATATATATATATATATATATATATATATATATATAAAAATCGCCATTGGCTTCAACTACTATAGGATATTACACACACTTACACACACATAATATATATATGTGTGTGTGTGTGTGTGTGTGTGTGTGCGCGTAATACCTATAGTAGTTGAAGCCAATGGCGATTTTATTGAATGAATTTACTCTTCAGCATTTCAAGATAATTTTATGTAATTTTGGTAAATATATCACATATCTGGCTGAGTGGTTTAGAAAATCTGCTTTCCCACCATGAGACCTGTGTTGGAATCTCACTATGGCCTATTTGTTTGCTAATGTTTTCTGCGTCTCTTTCAGAGTGAACTCTTTGGAATGTGTCCGAAAAAGCATGCCACGACTTGATCCAACTCATGTGAATGAAAACTGGAACTGTTCCGAAAGCCGTCCATAGTTTTCTTAGCAGAAAGTCAGAAGTCATAGTGCCCAGGGGTTTGAGCGTACCGGTGCTGTTCAGACTTCTCATCATGACAAATTACTCTCCCTATCTCTCTCTCTCTATCTGTCTCTATATATCTCTCTCCCTCCCTCTCTTTTTCTCTCTCTCTTACTCTCTGCCTCTCTCTCTCACTCTCTCTTTCCCTCTCTCTCTCCTTCTCTCTCTCCCTCTCTCTCTCCCTCTCTCTCCTTCTCTCTCTCCCTCTCTCTCTTTCTCTCACTTTCTCTCTCCCTCTCTCTCTTTATCCCTCTCTATCTATCTATCTATCTATCTCTCTCTCTCTCTCTCTCTCTCTCAGACTGTAACTAACGTCCACTCAGCATAGCTGCCGTATAAACTTCAAGTGAGATCTGTGGATATCGAACAAATGCAAATTTAAATGAGCGCGAGCTGGTATCAGTGACTGGTAAGTTGCTGCACCAAACGCGTTGTTCGTAAAACCAGTGTGTTTGTGTATATATATATATATATATATATAGAGAGAGAGAGAGAGAGAGAGAGAGAGAGAGAGCAACTTCGTTTCTCAAACGTCTCACATGTCGAACAGAAAATTCGAGAGGAAAATACCTCGATCATCGAACAAAAATTCGGTTCTCGAACAATATAGCCGAACCGAGTTGTGCTGTACTTTTCTTTTAGTTTCGGTTTACGAACGGCATTCCGGAACGAATTAAATACGTGAACCGAGATTCTACCGTGTGTGTGTGTGTGTGTGTGTGTGTGTGTGTGTGTGTGGATACGTGTAATTTATTGGGGTTGTTATAACTTCTTCCTTTAATGTCGTTCTTATCATTCACCCCTTAGACACCGATATCTAGAGAAGAGACGCGTTAAATTTGAGCAATATCCAGCCGACACACTGGGGTTAAAATAGGAAACTAAAATGATACATATGACACACTCATATCCTCTCTCCCACCTCACTTCCTCACATCGTTAACTTTACGTATACTTGATGAGGTCCGTAAAAAACGTGTGAATTTCTTTTCATTTTAGCTTTTGGAAGTATAGTCTGATGATCCAGAACCCTGTTAAAGGGGTTATGGTGAAATAACTTATTGCATGGAATCTTAACGTGGTCTGTCTCTTTATTCAAATATATATATATATATATATATATATATATATATATATATATATATATATATATATATATATATATATATATATATATATATATATATTCTTTTATTTTTTTATAGATACTATTATTTAAGTAAATGCTCTGTTTTTTATTAAACAGTGTTAATTACATTTACCGGCCTGAATGTCCGAGAAATCTCATAGAAAAAAATATGCCCTCTGACAGGAATCGAACTTAGCTACAGAGATTTGGACTTTGCTTACCAATCGTTTGACATCAAATCAAATGATTGTTCAATGTACGACACAGATTCGATTCCTGTTGGAGGACTCTTATTTTCTACGAAATTTCTTGGACATTCAGACTTGTCAATGTAACGAATACTGTTTATTCTAAACAGAGAATTTACTTAAATAATTGTATCTATAAAAAAAGTATAAACAGCACCGTTTATATATATATATATATATATATATATATATATATTTTGTCATGATGAGAATTTTGAACAGCACCGTTTATATATATATATATATATATATATATATATATATATATATATATATATATATATATATATTCAAGGAGGCACTATTGGTAGTTAGGAGAACAGGCCAGTATATCAATGGATAACGTGATGGAGATCCTGGCTTTCTGTACACAATCAACACACTTCGGAATGGGATCAAACATATGTCGACAGGATGAAGGCTTAGCAATGGGATCGCCATTATCACCACCAATGACAAACATATATACGGAATACTTCGTAGAAATTGCATTGGAATCCACACCGCTAAAGCCAATCCTATGGATGATATACGTAGATGACACCTTCATACTCTGGCTACACCAGGAAGAGGTCCAGCTACCACTGAACTATGTTAACTAAATAAGATCATCGATAGAGTTCACAATGGAGAGAGAAAACGACAAGACTCTCGCATTCCTGGATGGACTAATATCTTGAACAGAGTATGGGGTCAAGACATTCGTATCCAGCTTTCACCGGAGAATACCTCAACTTCAACTGCCACCACCCATACGGTGTAAAGTCTGCTGCTTATAACATCAAGCAAAAGTCATAAGTGGTGACCCAGATACATATTAAAAAATAAATGGTCAATATAAGCAGTACTATACAACGCCTTGTTTTTATGGCAGCATCTCCGACAAAGTGGGGAAGAAAGTTACAAGCGGGGTAATAACAATAAGAAAACAATTTCGATCTGCCTACCCTATGTGAGGGGGGTTATCGGAGAACATACAAAAGATCTGCCGTCCATATAACATCAGTGCACGATGCGAGTAACGGATTGAGGAATCGGAGAGCCGAGTTCGAATTCCAGTAGAATCCATTACATTCACTTACGTGCTAATAGCCTTGGGAAAGGTATGGAGACTTTTATTCTTCCCCCAGCTAAATAGCAGGGCAAGACCGGTTTCTTTAGACTTCGATGGCAACTGGTCTCCCGCAGAAAGAAATGGAAACCTCGTCATGTATCGAAAGATAAGCGTGTATCACGCATGGCACATAACTGAATGAAAGTCCCTTGCCTGCTAATACGCTTGGGAAAGGTATGAATCCTCGTTTTCTCCCCCCAGCTATGGCTAAATAGCAGGAGAGACCGGCAACTGGTCTGCTGCATAAAGAAGTGGCAACCTACTGCGGGAAAAGATCTGCCTCGTCATTCATGTATCACGCATGGCACATAACTGACTGACTGCTGCTGTAGTCAGACATTTACAAAGCGAGATAACTGAGACATTAGCAAAAGGCGTGGAACTAGAACAATCTCTCCCGGTGGTCGAAATAAAGGGTTCAGTTCGAAATTTCAATCACCTGAAGAGCATGCAGCAACCGAAACGTCGTTAATATAGCAATAAAGATGAGGACAACGGTCTGAACAATGAAAATATATTATATTATATTATTATAGATCGCTTGTTGGAAGAGTAGAAATTATCAATATCAATTAGAGGAAAAATTACGACAGGTTTTCTTGTTGTCAGGAACTACTTGATAAAATAAAAACGCATTCGCTATCAGGAAAGCACGTAGTCGACGTATAGAATTTGAAACGTATTTTTCAGCTTTGCAAATATGAAAACAGATTGTTGTTATTTTCTTCCTTCTTTTGACGTTTTGTTCTCGTGAGATTTATAAAAAGTGACAAGTTGGTTTTATTCTAATGTACTTTCACACTGTTGTACATTAAAGTAAAATCAAGTTGTCAATATATAAAATTATTTAGCTTTTCACTTATGTTTAAGTGCTGGAACCTTTCATAAGAGTGTGTGAAAGGAATAAAGTCTTTACTTACTCGCTTTCCTCACTCTCTCTCTCTCTTTCTTTCTATAGCACACCCACGGCTTCCCTCTTCATGAATCCTTCCTTTTTTTTTCGTCTTTGTACTATTTCTTATTTTAGATTGGACTTGCCTGTCTTCGAATCATTTTATCATTATCTATCTATCTATCTATCTATCTATCTATCTATCTATCTATCTATCAGTTTAGTCATAGATAGATTGATAGACAGATAGACAGGCAGGCTGAAATAGGTAAAATAAGCAGGCTGAGATAGATAGATAGATAGATAGATAGATAGATAGATAGATAGATAGATAGATAGCGAGAGAGATGTATATGATTAGACTGAGATATCTATCTATCTATCTATCTATCTATCTATCTATCTATCTCAGCCTGCTTATTGTATCTATCTATCTATCTATCAGTTTGCTCATAGATAGATAGATAGATAGATAGATAGATAGATATGCAGGCTGAGATAGATAAAATAAGCAGGCTGAGATAGATAGATAGATAGATAGATAGATAGATAGATAGATAGATATGGTTAGACTAAGATATCTATCTATCTCACTTTGTTCATATGCATGTATCTATCTATCTATCTATCTATCTATCTATCTATCTATCTAAGTCTGTTCATATCTATCTATCTATCTATCTATCTATCTATCTATCGCATTCCCTTTTGTTCACATATCGCTATGTCTTCCTTTTCACATTACGTTTTCTTATTACATTTATAGATTAGTTATGATATCTCAAAAAATGTGTTTCGCAACCTGTAAATATCTTTTCTCTTGTGCTGTCTTCGTCTCTGTCAATGTTTAGATCTAGATAGTTCTATTGTTCAATAGTATCTGTCTTTCGCTTGATCGATCCATCTGTGCCTGTCTCAGTTTTTACCTATATTTTTCTTCCTCACTTCATATTTTGATTGCTCATATAAAATTGATTGCAGTTACAGGTTTGATTTTATTCCAGCCAATGTCGTTAAATTAAAAGAAACAAAACAAGAATGAAATGTCTTGTAAGCAGTAGACAATAAAGTTTTTCGCTTTGTTCATCATTGAATTTTATGAGCAGTTACATCCAAATACAAAATAAGTAAAAAAATATTTCACATAATTCAACATATTTAGTGATCGACTCTACAAGTTATTTTGTTTGCTAATATCAGGGCATGAATGCAATAGAGTTTTCATTATATAAAATATAGTGAGTGATTTTATTTATACAGAGTGTGTCATCAATATGGTATAATCCAATAATATGTCTATCGAGTCGAAAGTGTATATATATATATATATATATATATATATATATATATATATATATATATATATATATATATAAGTTTCATTTTAAAAAAAAAACATTGTGTATCAATTCATCATTTTAACGCCATTTCTGTTCACATATGCCACGTTATAACGTTTTGCGTTCAAATTTGATACCATGTTTAATTATTAGTTTGGAGAAATTAATATAAAATAAAATAAATATATAAATAAATCTATATAAATTGTCAGTAATTTATGAATATTATAATCACGTGGTTGTTGGTGAAGTTTATGAAGCTTGAATTTTTTTACAACTAGAGTGTTATATAGGAATAAAATGAGCTGCCGACACTTGGGTTTGAACATAGATCGCCAGGAAGCAAACACAAGCGACCCCATTATTGAATTAAGTAGAGTACGTGACCATTAGGTAAAGTAACGTGACGTCTAAACGATCGTTATTTCTAGTCTATCCTCTATTACTATTCGGATCTCCATTTCTATTCTATCGTCTATAACTATATGGACTGCTATTCTCTACTCTATTCCCTATACTATTTCTTTATTCGCATCATTATTCGGTGGTTACTATTCGAGTGAGCATTATCGAGCAAGTACTATTAGTGCGAGTGATATTCGAAGGCGTCTGACTCCAGTATTGTTCAATGGCGTTACTATAGTTGTATCTGCGATTACAAAGTCTCTACTACAACGAGTATTACGAAAGTGGCAGCGAGTATTCGTTGACATCACAAAACATAGCGTGACTATGAAGGAGCGATGCTGTGAAATATTGCATGCAATACTTTTGTGACGTTGTCCCCCGGTCGCAGCGCCGACTGTGACGTTCTATCCTGATCTACCACGGCGCCAGTTGTGACGTCCCCAAACAGCACCAATTGGGACGTCCTCGCCGCGGCGCCAGCTGTTCGCTCCTCGCTGCTCCGTCCGGGTGTCGCTGCTCCAAACGTGACGTCCGCCTGTCGCGTCAGTCGTGTTGTCTCGTCCTGTGACGACCAACTGGCTTGGTATCGGTCGCGGCACCCAAATGTGACGTTCTAACCTTTTGGTGATTCGGGTGGGAATCTGGTTAGATTTGATATTAGCCTCGTCGTTCCCAACTCGCTTCCAACGCCTGGTTACCAAGGTAACTGCATTGATCTCCAGTCTGCCTACCCACGTTGTGAATTGATCTTAGACAGACGAGATCAAACAGTGGTTGGGGCCGTAATGCAAACTGAGTTCAACGGGGGTGATACTACAAAATATGCATAAAAGAAAATAAAATGAAAACTCAAAAGTTCAAAGTATCAAAGAAAAAGGTAACAAACTTTATGTCTAGTTGTTCGATACATAGGACTGCATCTATCTCCCGACCCGTGCTGTGGATTGTGACACGTCGTTTTCCGTTAGGCAAGTTTTAACGCTTCAAGTTGTTTGCTCTCTAAGAAATTGGCGTTTCGGTGTGTCTTTGGACGAAAGTCGAAAAAAAACTTATTTCGGTGGTCTGGTTCTGAGTCGCTCTTCAAAATAATTGTTCTTGGGTTGAAGAGGAGTCCGGAATTTTGCGTGAATCTTGGTCAGCTATCTGCGAGGCGGCTTCAACTCTGGAAACTCAACTCTCCGCTGGAGATTTCTGCCTGTTGGGGCCTCGCTTTTATTGACGCCGACCAAAACCGGGTTGGGTCTGTCGGCGTCGGGGGGTTCCTCGATAATTCTAAATACATATCCACCTCTTTTATTTCTGGTTAGGGATTTTCCACTCTTTTCCATTTTTGGGAACCTTTCCTCACTCCCACTTTCTCACCATACTTCTGAGGGGCGTGAACTTCCCTCCCCACTTCCTCGTAGCAGCTTCTCATACTTATACTCTGGATGAGGCGTCGACAGCCTTCTTCGTGCGTCACGTGATCACCACTCGGCCAATGAGGTCTTAGTCGGGTATCTTTCCTCCTCCTTCGTGCGTCACGTGATCACCACTTGACCAATGATGTTTTAGTCGGGCGTGAACGAATCCGCGGCTTTGTTTCGGTAAAAAAAAATATCTTGCTTAACTAAAAAATAATTATCTCTTCTCTTTCCCTTTTCTTCCGCTTTAATCGCCGTTATCATTTTTCTAGCCACAAACGGACAATATGACAACTCTTGTTCTACACGTGGTTTTTGTCAGGTTTTTATGGCTAATTATCAAAATGGGTGGTCTTCTTAACACGGCCTCAAAAAGAAATATCTCTAAAATTTCAGTCAGTCTGTCGCCTCCAAGGAAGAAGAAAAAAACTTCTGGGTCCCCATTCATTTTCCTTCGGTACATATTTCTGATAACATAATTTTTATTATCGCAGGCCAAAGTTGTTTCGTCGAAAAAATTCGGTCAGCGGACACGGCTTGTGTGGTTTTTAATTTTCATATCTACCCAAAGTCTTGTAGTTACACCTGTGTTTTGTCAATTATCAAAATTAACGTTTTCAATTGAATTTTTCGTTGGCCAGTCGAGCAGCCGTTTTGTTTACGTACTCCTAGATAACACAGCCGTTATCAAAACACTTCTGTTTCTTTCTTTCTTTCCCTTTCTTCTTACCCAGAATTTCCCTGTCATATCAATATATTCATTGTCTCTTAGCCGTGTGTGTTCTGCTGATCACCCACGATTCGTCTCGCCTTTCTTTCTGCCTTCTTTTCTTTCTTTTCCTTTCTCTGCCTCGTAAATGTTGCCACACATTCAACTGTTCTGATTAATAAATCCATTGTTTCGATTTTCGGGTAAACCTACATCTGGCTGTTCAAAGAAGCCTTCAAATGTAACTAATAGAGATTCTCTAGAAAATGGACAAAATTTGATATTGCGGAATTTTTGAATACCTTTAGAAAAAGTGTTTAGTTAACAAGAAAGTTCTTGGTGTTATGATTGTTACATTAGGAGTCAAACTCTCCAGATTTATCAACAGTGCAAAAGTGGGCAGCTGAATTTAAGAGAAGAAAATTTTTTAAAGATGATGGCACCACTGAGAAAAAACATTGATCCTGTTCACCAGATGATGATTGGTGATAGAAAGGACGAAACTTTAAAAATCTTAGAATTCTCAAGTTCAGTAAATATTATTGCTCTTTTCAGTATTGATGGGAGATTTCTGTTTAACTATTGTTTTTCTAAGTATTTAGTAAAGTGAACATCGTGATTTTGTCATTATTTTCTCTTTGAGTTACATGAAATATCCAAACTTAGATTTTGCTGTTGTTTTAAATCCTCATGTGCTAGGGTTTCAGTTATTTCGTAAAGGTCTTTATTTACGAATCTGTACCGCCAATCCAACACATGCGAAGAAAGACGGTCCTTACTAGCATGTAGATGCTTCATTATCTCAAAAACATTTTGCCAATTGATCATTGGACGTGTTTTATGTCAGGACATCCATATTAAGATCTGGATATGATGAGGGCATTTTAAAACACGACTCAACTTCTTAAGCTAATGTTTTGTAGCAAATTGCGGTGTTGAGCAAAACTATCACTCGTACAGCCTATTCAAATGACTTCATCATAAATACGTTATATCTGATTCATACACCCAAATATTTATTTTGGGTGTCAGATTTTATTATGCAATCCAAACGTTGTTCAGAATGTTGTTGATAAATGGTATTGTTAATATTAGCTGTTTCCTTATAAGGAAACATTCAGCATTTATTAGATTTTGCTGTTGTTTTAATTACTCACGTGTCGGGGTTTCTGTTATTTGATAAAGGCCTTTGTTTGCGAATCTGTAGCGTCAATCCAAAACGTGCGAAGAAGGACGGTCCGCACAAGCACTTACATGATTCATTATCTGGAAACCATTTTAACCATTGATCTGGACGTGTTCTTATGTGATTTTTGGTTAAGTTTATGAAGCTTAATGTTTTAAAACTAGAGGAAACATTGTTTAAAGTATATTATATTGCTTCAAATACTTTCGAGCCTTGCCTGTCAATAGCAGAAATATTAATGTCAGTTACAAAAAAATAATTCATTTCATCCTTGCATTTTTATGTAAATAAGCGTTTTGCCCCCCCCCTTCACACAAACATATGTACCATATATACACGTGCAACGCGTGATCTCGCGTTGCGTGTGACCCCCAAATTTTCACTTATAAATAATAATTTATCATGCATCACATATATCATGCGAGTTCCTTTTTTTTGAGGGACCAAATTACAAATGTCTAACCTATTTTCCTCTATCTCTTTATCATCGCATTTACTAGTTAGATAAGTTAAACAGTAAAAGAAAATGATAAAAGTATTGTTAGTGACGCTATACTCGTTCCATAACCGCGTTCAGCCATAAACAACCAAACGAGAAACTGCTAAACATATTATAAACGTAAACAATGGAAAAGATGACTATTCGCTATGTTCGTATTTTATAATACGATAATATGTGTCTATTACATGCATTATTATTGGATACAGTTAAGTAAAACATCAGT